CAACATAAGGCAGTCATGGCGTTCCATAAAATTGAATGTTTTTTCGATCCATATCATTTAACAGGTGTGAAATATTTGAGATCTATAGTAGAATTTCGTTTAATAAAAAGCCTCCGAATTATACTTTGAATTATTTTGTCCATCAGGACATTTTATTGGACACGGGAAAACTGGCGACGTTTTTAAAGTAACACCGCAGTTACATAATGATGACTTCAGAGAGCTTCTTTAGGACATGTACATATTTTCTGATATTATTAAAATCCATTTTTAACCGTTAAATCTTATAAAAAGTGAAGGCAGAAAGTTTGTGTACGGCTTGAATAGCTAATTTGGACATTTTTTCTCATCCATCTCTAAACTCTCCTTCTCTAACAGTAAAAAACGTCTAAAACCCCATTTTACGTTATAGGTATACAATACAGTTGTAAAATTATATAACATTCTACTTACTATTTAATCCGCACTGGGATTTCAAAGACGCGCACAAAATTGTAACAGCGGGACACCCTTAAAATGACGTTATAGGCATCGAAATGAGCATAGTTTTTCATTACATAATGTACAAAGCAAAAACTCATCTATGTTATCGATTTCTTTGGTTTATTTCCTTTCGAATGATATGCAGAACATGGATATTTATTGTATAGGAAAAGAGCTTCAATTTGAATAACCCGCCATCTATCGTATATTTCCAAAGAGACACCAATACCGTGCGCAACGTCTTAATCACTTAATTAGTTATAGTTCAAATAGAAAAAAAAGCGTTTCACCTTTTGAGAATACTAATGCAGGAGTTCTGCAAGGCTCTGTATTGGGTCCCCTACTATTCCTTATTCATGTATATGACATAGCTGGTAATTTGATAAGACTAACTCGATTGTGTGCTGATGAAACATCCCTTTCTTTTTAAAGTAATAGTCCTTACACAATAGAGGATGTCTTAAATAGCGATTTAGAACAAATCTTAGCATTGTCTTAAGATTGGCTTATTGATTTTAACCCTTACAAGACAAATGCTATGCTATGGTTGTACTCAACAAGATTCCGACAATTTAGAACATGTTTAGTTAGAAGCAGGAATATTAGTAACTGGGTTGCCCGTGTTTGCTTGTCGGGAAGTTATATATTTTAAGTGAAACAGCCTGAAATTTGCTAGTGGACAGAAGAAAGTCAAGAAAGCTCACTATGTTCTATTCTTTATATAATGGGACTGCCTCTACGATTTAATGCCACTTTTTGGTCAAATGTCTAATTATAATTTGCGAAACAATTATGTGATACCCAGTTATTGATAGATTTAACCAGAAAATCCCTTTTTTTTCGATCTACTACTATTGAATGGAATAGCCTAAACCCCGACATACGTACGTCCAGAAATATGAATATATTTAAACGAAAGTCTAAATTGATACAGACACCTAAGGTGGCGTAGCTAGGCATTTATTTTTAGTGTACGCCCGAACTTCGAAGATTCGCCTTGTGGCCGCAACATACCCCAGCGTGTCCGTGACAGAGCTAGTGTACACGGGTTCCAGAGATCGAAGCCCCCCCCTCGAAGCTCACGCGTTATCAAGAAAGATATACCGGTATCATCTTTTAAAAAATCATCAATAGTAACATACTTCGGAGACGTATTTGTTTATTTCTTATCTTTACTGTATGCAAAGTAAAGTAAAAGAGACTACCATAGATTTGTTATTAATCCCAAATGCTTGGTGGGTACAAATGCAGTATTCAGGACTTACATTTTTGCATTAAACCACATTTCAAAAGAAATTGGAAAACTGAGCCGGAAGTATTTCTAAGACACTGATTTTTCCTGTTCTATGTAGTTTTCTTACTGGCAAAAATGGAAAATGATTTTATAAATGCTGTCAGGCACCGACCATAGAAAAACAATCGATCTGTTTAAAAAAAGAAATGAAAATAACTGTTTGTTTTTTGTTTTTGGCAAATTAGTAAAATGACCGTTTGATTTAAAATCATTTGAAATTATTTTGAAATAGATTAATGATAGTAATTTATTTACATGTGAAAAAGCTAGACTTTGTGGCGTAGGGATGTAATTGAGTGGTTTTGTGTGCAATTATTTCCCATTATTTCGGCAGTGAAAATCTGCAAGTATTTCATTATGTTGTTTGATTTAAACATTATAACAAAACTAAGAATATGACGGATAAATTTATAGTTAGCTGTTTAACGTCCAGTGGCAACTATTAGATGTATTATTAGGAGGACATTTAAAAAGTTATAAATATGAACAAGGACATCCTTTGTTATGCAAACATGTGTATCACGGCACAAGCGATGACCTTTAGACCCTGTGTAGCATATGTATATTTAGGGTTGCTCCGAATAAAGGGGATATAGATACAGGAAAATAAAGTAAAAAAAATATAAAATAAGAATAGAGTATAACGGGCAAAATAAAAAATAAAGGAAAATGGTCTTAGAAAATTTAAGAATACAGGGAAACGGTCTAGGTTTTGTTTTTAGAAAATTCAAAAATGAAGACGCTCAATTATAATTTCACTTAAGAATTCGAAATTTTTCATTTGCCGGACGCGCTCTTTTTTGATTATTGTTTAAAATCAAGTGCATTTGTAGTAAAAATAATACACTATCGTTTGTACATTGGTAAGGATTTATGTTTGGTGTTGATGAGGCACATAACGGGTAATTGTTTTTATTTGAAATTTCTCATATATTTGATTTTGTTCGACTGATTTGATAGATGAATACAAATATATCAATAATCTAAAAAAAAAGTTTAATTACGATATGTAGATGAAACTGTTATTCAGTCGATGTTTAAATACATGCGATAAAAGAGAATATATAAATATGATTAACAAACTTTTTAAGCAAAAGGCAAACCTTAAGACCCCGAATATACTTTGTAAGAACATTAGATTAATTCCGAATTCCATCTAAAATACATTGTTCATTTAGGTCAAAAGAATGTTAATACCTTAGGCTATTTTCCAAAAAATGTTGACTGAAAACCCTGCAGACTGCAGTTTACTCGCACATTCACCAAGTACCTATTTCCACGGCTATCGTATCTTTTTATTTGTTTAAATTAATTTCAGTGTTTATTTTTCAAACTGTTTATGTAAATAATTTTGGATCAACATCGAGTCAGATTAAGTTATAATTTATTAAATGATTAATTAAAAACTGAAATATGCATCCAATCTAAATGTTACGCCTATGATAACCTATATAAAAAGATTTAACAGAACACAATTCATGTTTTATATATTTTAAAAAACTATATACGCTAAACGAAACTATGTACGCCAAGAAACGATGTACGCTAAACGATACGATATACGCTAAACGAAACGATGTACGCTAAACGATACGATATACGCTAAACGAAACGATGTACGCTAACCGATACGATATACGCTAAACGAAAAGATTGACGCAATACGATACGATGTACGATAAAAGGGAGCATATGTTATCGTTTATGGTATGGTTTATGGTACATGGTTTCGTTCGTACATCATTCGTTCAGCGTTCGTACAACGTTCGGTTAGCGTTTCGTTTGCATTCGTTCACCGTTCGGGAATCGTACGTACATCGTTCGGGCATCGTCCGTACATGATTCGGGCATCGTTCGTATTGTTAACTTTTACGTTACACGGACTGTATATATGTTATAAGAGTTTTCTTGTTGTTTTTATTTGAAAACTCTGTCATGTATTTTCTTTCTATTCACGTGTAGAAATAATGCTTTTCCCCTGTATAATCCTTACAAAATGTACTATTTTCACAAACTGTAACTAGGAAACAAGCTAGGTAAACTATACTTATATATATATATATATTTAGGAAAAAGCGCAATATAAACTATATTTTGACAAAGTATGAAAACATTCTGTCATCTTTCGTTTGTACCCTCTAACTTCTTTGAGGCACCGACCATTCATCTTGTATAATAGAACACACAATACTTTTTACTTCAGCGATTTTTTTCTCAAGAAAGTTAGAATTTAACAATTATTACAAAAATGTAAAAAAAGAACACGCCCCTCCCCTCTTACACACACAAAAAAGATCAATGGTTCATGATTACTGAATGCTTATATCTGTTTTGTTTTTTATAGATGTAAGGACCAGTTATTCTTCTATAACCAATTATCGATCAGGACACATTGACCACATAATTATGTAATTTCGCAAAAAATTGTTAAATGGTTCTGGTCAAAACAATGAATATGGAGGATATATACGTCATTAGCTTATGACATGCGCCCTGCATGATGTCATTGTGAAAAATGACAAAAATACTAGTGATCTCAGTGCACATTGAAATTGTAAATTAAACTATGCAACTCGAAATATAGAATTGTACGTGACTAAACACAGATGTTCTCCTCTTGCATATAACTTACTGTAACAGTCAAATACTTAAATAGGAATTTATTGTTCACATTCTGTGTGCCAATTTTCACAATTATAGAGCATAGGTGTTAAAATTTGAGGAAATAACTTTAATATTCATGCAGGTCTGGATGGGATTAAAGAATAGAGAATAATGGGCCAAGTCTACAGAAAATGGGTAAAAAAAACAAAAATTGACCAAAAAAATTAAAATAAAGAATAGACAAAAATAAACAAAAATTGAACAAAAAATAAAGAATAGACAAAAATAAACAAAAAATAAACAACAGACAAAATTTAAAAAAAAATAGACAAAAAATAAAGAATAGACAAACATAGACAAAAAATAAAGAAAAGACAAAAATAGACAAAAAATTAAAGACAAAAAATAAAGAATAGACAAAAAATAAAGAATAGAGAAAAATGGGGTGCTGAAACGTTAACATAAAGAATAGATAGACATAATACATATAGAGAGAATATAAAATAATGGTCAAAATAAATAAATGATAGAAACAAATGGTCTAAAACGTTACAGATTAAAGACAGTGAGGACCCCATGGCCACCCAGACCCTCATTCATGTTATCTTAGAATACATACCATTCCTTAAATGTGCGTGACATTTACAGCTACACGTTCTACACTGACAACAACCTTGATTACTATCTAGATAATAAAATGTAACTTGAAATGAAAAAATGATATAGTACAAGAAATGAAATTTAATCATACTGTTTACTAGTGAATAATTCATTATACGATCTTGAATCAATATAAATAGATCGTTTTTAAAAAAAAAGATGCGGAAGATACCAAAGAGATATTCAAAACTCATAAGCCCAGGAAAACAGACAACGCCATGGCATAACGAATAAGTCCAGGAAAACTGACAACGCCATGGCATAACTCATAAGTCCAGGAAAACTGACAACGCCATGGCATAACGCATAAGTCGAGGAAAACTGACAACGCCATGGCATAACTCATAAGTCCAGGAAAACTGACAACGCCATGGCATAACGCATAAGTCCAGGAAAACTGACAACGCCATGGCATAACTCACAAGTCCAGGAAAACTGACAACGCCATGGCATAACGCATAAGTCCAGGAAAACTGACAACGCCATGGCATAACTCATAAGTCCAGGAAAACTGACAACGCCATGGCATAACGCATAAGTCCAGGAAAACTGACAACGCCATGGCATAACGCATAAGTCCAGGAAAACTGACAACGCCATGGCATAACAAAGAAGACGACGAGAAGACTCACAAGTTCACAAAACACTACACCAATAACGACTGTTAAACCATGATAAGAATTAACCAGTTTCTATTGTCAATAATTGTTTACAAAAATGTTCCACTTAACATCAATCTCGATATAATACACACAAACAGTAATTATAACGAGCAAAATATGGATAAGAAGATTTTGGTTTAACGTCTAGTGGCAAATGTGACATGCATTCATGTATCAAGACGGGATCATGTTGATGTGATATGAATATGAACATGAACCCTGATTTACAAGACCGACTCGTTGATTCAGTTTTTACCGTGCTATTTCAATACAGTGGAGATCACTTCTAACCTCTCATTAAAACTGTCAGAATAATCTATCATAGAACTGTTCTAAACTAAATCAGTTCCAACTTCACTTTTAGAGTGAAGGGCATATATTGATATAAATATTGATTTTGTTACTAGTAAATTAAAACCAAACTGATATTATTGTTATTTACATATGCACATTCACCGTTCTATAATTTGTCGATACCTGTATTTTTGACAGTGCACAAGGTCACGTTCTTCTCTGACTATTAATGACGTATTTACACAAAATCCATTGGATGTTGGATGTGTACTGAATGATATTTTAGTCTTAGATACATTTGTACATGATTTGTTTATTAGTTGTTGTTGGTTTTGAACTAGCTGTCAGTAACTGCGAGTACTCTCAGATCTATATTTGTTTATGTTGTTGGGATGTATAAATATCCTGCTATTCCGGTATGTGATTTGTTACATGTTTTTTTTTTTGCTTTGTATCGATCTGAGGAGTTAAGCCCTTTTTAACTGTTTTATAGTTTTTAATATGTTGTGCTGTTATACCACTGTCCCAGGTTAGGGGAGGGTTGGCGCCCGCAAACATGTTTAACCCGCCACATTTTGTATGTGCCAGTCTCAAGTCAGGCGCCTGTAATTTCAGTGGTTGTCTGTTGTTGCTGTATATCATATTTGTTTTTTGCTCATTGTTTTGTGCATAAATCAGGCCGTTAGTTTTCTCGTTTGAATTCTTTTACATTTGTCATTACGGGGCGTTTTATAGCTGACTATGCGGTGGTGGTTTTGCTCATTGTTGATGGTCGTACGGTAACCTATAGTTGTTAACTTCTATCTCATTTGGTCTCTTGTGGAGAGTTGTCTAATTGGAAATTATACCACATCTTTTTATTTTTATAACACCATCCACAATGATCTCAAAGCCAACAAAATAGTTGCAAGCGTTGTCGTGCTTCGCATACCCCAGTTCGTAATTCAAGTTATCGGAAAAAAAAGAAGCAGCACTAGTAAACCAATTTTGATCTGAACAGCTCTTAAAAAACTAAATAATAAACCATAACGTCAATTTCAGTTTTTCAGGAAATTTTCAGATTTATCCACTGCGGTAAATTCAGTACTGTTCAGACATTTCGCTTGAAGTCAATTAACTTAAAGATCTGTTTAGTAAATGTTCAGACATTTCAGTAGCTACTATTTACCTGTACAGATCAACATCATACTGAATTGTCTGATATGCTACTGAACAGTACTGTATTGACTGCAAGCGAACTGTCTGAACAGTACTGAATTTACTGCAGTAGATACGTTTGTAAGTCTGAAAATTGACCGAAAAGCTAAACATGACTGCATAATTAATTGTTTCCGACTTTTAAGATCCTGTTAAGATAAAAATGACAAGTGTAGGTGTTTGGCAGAACCGAGAAACGCTCACACGTTTCAACTCATAAGTGTCAAGCTGGTGACCATATACGAAGTCATTCTATAGTACCCTAGAAAAGTGCGACAAAAATATGAAATCATTCAACTTTTTAAAAAATCCATGTAAAAAGTAAGTTCGTATCTGACAAATCTAAAAATCACACATTTCAACTCTTCACTGTCAGGCTGGTGACCAAATACGAAGTTCTTGTCTTCCGCAGTATACGAGAAAGGTGGGACAGAAATGATTGTTGGACGAATTGGTTATGACTAAGGATTGGAAGGAAAATTTCCTGATACAAGACGCTACATATTTACATAAAAATTATGTTATTTAAGGTTATATACCAACACATGTCTGGAAGAATGATACACATGTGTACAAGTTTTTGTTTTCAATTTTTGCTTAACTCGAGTTTAAAAAATATCTTGCGCAAGTTCGTTTCTTTTCAAGAGGTAATGAAAAGAAAGAAATATCAAAGGCGATTGGTAATTCAAACACATATGTTGAACAGTCTACAATAAACCCCTAAAAAACTAATTTAAAAGATGATCAACACAAACTCTATCAAAAACCGGTACTGATCTTATGTGCTCCGGAAGGGTATGCAGCTCTTGCTCCTCAAAAAGCAACCCGTCTTCTTACTCATTTAAAGTATTTGCGTTGAAATATTTTATCCTGACCTAATATATATCTATAAAAAAATGCGATATTTAAAAGCCATGTTTTGAAATTGTATCGGCTGTAAATTTTGTATTTTGATGATTATTTCTACCTTCGTTAACGCTCCCTGTCTGTGTACTTTTCTCGACTGTCATTTTACCATCTTGAGACTGAAAAATAGATAGCGACTTTTTTGTTAACATAGGACCCTTTATATTTACTTTTAAATATCAGTAATCTCTTATATATAGAGAACGGAAAAATTCAAGATTCTAGTTCATACCGAAGATATTACTTTCGCTTTTAGCTAAAGAATATCAACAATTATAGCGCTGTTCCTTTGGTTGTTGTTTTTCAGGTGAAATTTGCATTTACAGAGACTAATATAATACAATAATAGCCAATGTATAAGGTCCATATGAGGATATATCGACAAAAGAAGTTATATTGACTGGGGACGAGGTCCGAAGTAGATATATCAATGTCTCAACTTCATACAAAGGCTACAATTGTTATATTATTATTGTCAATGCGCTAGAAGTAGAGCAGAAATTCATTTGATTTATTGCTACGATTGCATCTCAAAGTATTCAGGTTTTTACATTTATATTCTTTCTATTTTCAAAATAAACGTGCAATATTACTTTTCAATCTGCCGTTTACAGTCTACACTTGAAAGTATAGTTGAACATGTGACGACTTTTGAACGTTTCATCAAATAAGTTAGAATATACACATTAATATCAAGTAACTAAGGTTTGCTTGCTTTACTGGGTGGACCTTATAACTACTAAATCCTATTGAAACAGTATCAATGATTACTAGCCAGTCATCAGCGGCGGATTCTGGATTTTTGAAAGGGGCGTAATTCCATTAAACGGATTATATAAAATGTTGACGATTTTATGCTAAAAAATCATATAAATCGTGAAAAAAAACCATAATACAATCATTTTGACGATCGTGGGTGGAGGGGGAGGGGGGGGGGGGCGTACGCCCTCCTGGCCTTCTGGATCCTCCACTGCTCATGCAAACTATAAAACGAACAAGAAAAAACTTACTTTTTCATATTATAAATTTAGAAGTTTATCATAAATTTTGGTTTACCTAACAAAGAAGCAGACAAAACATTTACGCACAAAAACTTACGCAAATAGTTACTAACAATAATATTAATATTTTTTAAATGGAATAACCAAATTAAACATAGGAACAATTTCCCCCTATAAGTGTTTCACTCACAGGGTAAAAATATGAAGTTGTTTAAGCCCACTGCAATTTGAATAATAAGGCACCTATACTATATACCTTAAGATATTATCAAAAACTTTTACATGGTTCCATAGAATCAAAATGTAATCAAGATTTACATGCTTTTGTTGGATTTTGTGTCGAAAGTCACCACTTACCAAATTCATTTGTTTGTAAAACAATATATTGAGTTATCTCCCTTAGAATGGAGGTGTTGGTTAAGAACGTTCATCTTTTTCTTTTATTTGAGTAATTACTAAACATTTGCCAAAATCTGTCAAAATTGCAGTTTCTAGCCATCTTTAGGAATTTATAATTTGGTTAGACGTTCAGAAATTTTCCAAAATGCTGTTAAAACTGTTAAGTACACATACGAATTAATGATACTGTAGGGTTTATAGATATAAGAAGATGTGGTATGAGTACCAATGAGACAACTCTCCATCCAAATCAAAATTTATAAAAGTAAACCTTTATAGGTCAAAGTACGATCTTCAACACGGAGCCTTGGCTCACGCCGAACAGTAAGCTATAAAGGGCCCCAAAAATTACTAGTGTAAAACCATTCAAACGGGAAAACCAACGGTCTAATCTATATAAAAAACGAAAAACGAGAAACACTTATGAACCACATCAACAAACGACAACTACTGAACATCAGATTCCTGACTTAGAACAGGTGCAAACAAATGCAGCGGGTTTAAACGTTTTAATGGTACCAAACCTTCACCCTTTTTCTGAAACAATAGTGTAACATCACAACATAGAAAGACAAACTATAAAATATCAACTGAAATAGCTTAACTCAATCAAAGGACATATTAACACCAGTGAACATACACTGAACAAATAAATTTGACCTATGATACAATGTAAATACAAAATAAATAAACTAAGGGAAGAATGATAAAAGTTACATGTTATACCGGTATGAAATGTTAAACAATTTAAGAAAAAAACAGATATAACCCTGAATAACATTAAATAACAAAAAAGCATTACAATTAGTATCAACAGGTCAAATAAACAAGAAAGTATGATTTGAGAGTACTCGCAGTTACTGACAGCTAGTTAAAAGCCAAAACAATTAATAATAAAAAATCATGCATCAGAGACTAAAATCAACTAAAACACATCCCAGGGATTTAGTATTTTAACGTCATGGAGAGTCAAAGAAGACATCACTTGTGCAATGCCAAAAATAAATGTATCGACAGACAGTAGGATAGTTAGGAGTTTAACTTCTTTATAGATCAAAATGAACGTGGGTGTGTCTTTATACATCCCGTTTGAAAAGAATACAAATTTAGTTATGTTTTAATTTGCTGATGACAAAATCGATATTAGTGCCAATGTAAACTATATTCAAAGATCTAATTACAACATTAGTAAGATAACATTTACTAATAAGTTTGTTTAAAGGTTCGATGAGTTTACACGGATCACATAGTGATTTCCGCGCTTTAAGTACAATATTACCGTAAAATTTAGGATGTGAAATACCGTTTTTAATCAGTTTTCTACAGGTACAGCCAAATTTAGTACAGATTGATGGACTTTAAGAAAAGAGCCCTAGTGTGAAATCAATCCAGGAAGCATTGGCTATACTTCTTTACCTAAAGTGTAAAGGACAAATATAATGTTACTCACAAGGAAGCGGTTGTTATTCTCAGGTGTTCTAGGTGATTCCTTCACAGTTTTCACCTTAGTTTCTAATCTTCGCAAAATATCACTCTGCATCAGTAATTTGTGTCTAACAGATTCAGTATGTGCAACGTGATCAATTTCCCTGAAAAAGTTAATCAGCTAATTTCGTAACATGTCTTTTAAATAAATGACTTTAAAATAAGAAGATATGATATGATTGCCAATGAGACAACTCTCCACCAGAGACCAAATGACGTAGAAGTTAATAATTATAGGTCACCGTACGGCCTTAAACAATAAGCAAAACCAATACCGCATAGCAAGGTATAAAAGGCCCCGAAATGACAAACGTACATCAACTCAAAGGAAAAAACTAGTATACATAAAATGTATCATGATTCTTAAGGGTAAGTTGTCAATACTTAGATTTTAACTTTTCGTTCTTTATGTCACCTTCAAGCACACAGCACTTACTAGTATAATGTCGATAGTAATTTTTAACTTACTTAGTTTCGTTATCTTTTTTCTCCTCCTCTTCCTTCTTGGCGCACATTTTATCCGGTCCCCTTTTCACTCCTTTCTCCTGCTCTTTCCACTCGTCGCCATTCTTCTCGTCGTCCAGGGACTCAATCTCCTCATCGTCATCGTCGTCTTTATAATAATCACTGTCTTCCTCCTCCTCGTCATCGTCGTCGTCATTTTCATTATTGCTGTAGTCGTCTTCCTCCTCTTCGTCGTCGTCGTCATCGTCATCATCGTTCTCATCCTCCTCGTCATAATCATCTGTGTAATAATCTTTGTTATCATCCTTCTCGTCATCATCACGTTTTCGTTTAAACCTGACGTTTTTTAACTGTAGTAATGTCTGTATAGATTGTTGTTTGTCAGAATAGTTTTGTTTTGTTTTAGTTAATTTAGACCCATATTTCTTCATAGAATTCCGTAAATCTAAGTCTATGATATCGTTAACACAGTCTGTGTCCATGCAATCATTATATTGACCATTTGGTAGATTAAGTGGGTCGTGTAATATGAGGTGATCTTGCAAATCATTTAAGTTATCAAACATTTGAAGGCAAAACGAGCATACACAAGTATTTTCTCTTTTGTCTTGTTGAACTTTCATGAATTTGTTCAGTGTATCCTTTTGCATCATGTGACTGTTTATCCGTAGAACTGATAGGGAAAATATATCCAGTTTTTTGTCCGTAGAATTGTTAAGGAAAATATTCCTAGGTTCTGGACCGTTTAATTGTTAAGGAATATATTTCAAGCTTTTTGTCCGTAAAATAGTTAAGAACAATTTTCCAAGCTTTTTTCCCGTAGAATTGTTAAAGGAAAATATTTCCAGATTTTTGTCCGTGGAAATGTTAAGGAAAATATTTCCAGATTTTTTCCCGTAGAATTGTTAAGGGAAATATTCTCAGCTTTTGTCCGTAGAATTTTCAAGGAAAATATTCGCAACTTTTTGTCCGTAGAATTGTTAAGGTAAATACTCCAACTTTTTGTTCAGGAAAATATTCCCTGCTTTTCGTCAATAGAACTGTTAAGGACAGTTTTCCCAGTTTTTCGTCCATAAATTGGATAAGGGAAATATTCCTAGCTGAAATGATATTACACATATTAGTTGTATAGATTTAAACCTACAAAATAAAACTATTGCTATAGTACGCGCGGCTCCAACGTTATCTGAAAAAAAGAAAAGTCGTTAATTATCAGATTGCCCAGATTTTTTTTTTTTTATTCTGTTGAAGCTCCATATTTAAGAGGATATTTCACTTTATTAATATTAATATATTCTTCTATTATATTTTAATCGATAAATGTTTCTTCAAAATGTAACATTATGTTATCAGTTGAAATATAATAAATCGACGTCAGACGAGTGTATTTTTACCAGCTGACATACTACACAATAATATTTGGGAGATATTTTGTGCATTGGTAACTACTAACTACATATTTAATAACTAGCTTAACAATAATCACATAGTTATTCTTATTTGTCAAATTATGCGTGCGTTAAAACTGTTTCTGACCAATTTGATTTCGTTTAAAACCACATGAATATATTAATCCACGAACACATGTAGATTAAATTTGTCTCGTGTAATTTTCAGACACATCCATTCGGAACATTGCACTCAGCAGTTTCCATAAACCTATAGATTATAATAAACAATTAATTTCCCCATAGGCGACAATGATAGCCTTTTTCGAGATACAGACTTTAGAAAGCTGATTTTTTTAACGAAACCTTGCTAGAATTAAAGAAAAGTTATTAGGACAGTATTTTTTGGTCCAAAAAATATAGGTTCGCGTTGCTTTTCTTAGCGTAATTTGTACTTATCTCCCATGCCTATCAATTTTGCACTTAAAAATACGTGTCTCATCCTAGCGTTTAAAAGACATCTCAGTTCCGTTAGGGCTAAGGAAAATAATTTATTTGGCCTTTGGTATAATGCAGAATGCACGAAGTCTCTAATTACAAAAAATAACGGGCGCACATATCAACCAATCAGGATTAGCTATACTCTTAATTCTGAATACCATGTTATGCTCATAAAATGGCTGCGCCCATAAAATCTAATGGTGTATTGTAACCTATACGCTATTTAATACTTTCTAGAATCATGCAATTCATAGTTCGTTAGATGCATAAATATATATGCCACACAAAAATCATCTTCAAAACGTTCTGGCATTACTCTCTGAATTTTCACAATTTTTTATCAGAGGTAACCCCAGTCAAAAAATGTGAAAAAAAAATTTCTGATTTTTTCAGTAAATGCGGTACTGCTAAAAAGGGCCTGAAGATAATGTCCACTTTCTCCAATGATTCTTTATATGTCATCAAGTACTGATTATATGGATACCAAAACCGATCCAATATGTAACTACTACGGTGAATTTTGAACAACAGTTTTAAATGAAACCATTTTCGTATAAAAGTACATTTTTGAAACAGACTATAGCATTACAAAATATGAAAAATGTGTAAATATTTGTGTTGAAACATCGAAAACTATTCGTTAACAACGAAATGTCATGCCTATTCTAATTTTTATAGTCTGCCATTCGAGTGAACATTTCAATGTTCGAAGGGGATCGTTTCTGTACATTTTCACTGAATTTGGTAATTTCGATAACAGCACTTGGATCGAGATTGTCATGTTTAAAAATCGATTTGTATATCCAAACTCTAGACGTGTATGTGCTTTTTACAAACAAATCAGCAGAAGTTCAGAAAATGACATATTCTCTCCACAGTAAGTCAAAAGTCGAACACACCCTTGTTTCTAAGGTAAAACGCTATACAAATATGAAACAGACTATAGCTTAAAAAACTAGTTAATCAATAATTCATTTGTCACCAAAAAATACGGTTTCACATCAAATATCAAGTAAAATTACTGTTTTTGACACTTTTTGAGCACTATGATAAAGAAATGTCGACGCTGTATAGATTATAATAAACAATTAATTTCCCCATAGGCGACAATGATAGCCTTTTTCGAGATACAGACTTTAGAAAGCTGATTTTTTTAACGAAACCTTGCTAGAATTAAAGAAAAGTTATTAGGACAGTATTTTTTGGTCCAAAAAATATAGGTTCGCGTTGCTTTTCTTAGCGTAATTTGTACTTATCTCCCATGCCTATCAATTTTGCACTTAAAAATACGTGTCTCATCCTAGCGTTTAAAAGACATCTCAGTTCCGTTAGGGCTAAGGAAAATAATTTATTTGGCCTTTGGTATAATGCAGAATGCACGAAGTCTCTAATTACAAAAAATAACGGGCGCACATATCAACCAATCAGGATTAGCTATACTCTTAGTTCTGAATACCATGTTATGCTCATAAAATGGCTGCGCCCATAAAATCTAATGGTGTATTGTAACCTATAGAAATACACACTCTTCCACTATAACAGCATTGACTGTGATATTTATCTTCCCTTGGTCGTTAAATTTCGAATTTTTGAAATATTTTAAAACATCGTAATCACCAGCAGGTGGTGGGTTTAAATCAATATAAAAATATAAGGAGATGTGGTATGACTACCAAAGAGCAAAGCGACAAACTACCACCAGATACCAAAGACTGTAGATGTAAGCAAATATATAGGTCACTATACGGACAAACAAGCGACAAATTACGACCAGATACCAAAGACCGTAGATGTAAGCAAACATATAGGTCACTATACGGACAAACAAGCGACAAATTGCCACCAGATACCAAAGAACGTTGATGTAAGCAAATATATAGGTCACTATACGGACAAACAAGCGACAAATTACCACCAGATTCCAAAGAACGTTGATGTAAGCAAATATATAGGTCGCTATACGGACAAACAAGCGACAAATTACACCCAGATACCAAAGACCGTTGATGTAAGATGAAAGCAAATATATAGGTCACTATACGGACAAACAAGCGACAAATTACCACCAGATACCAAAGACCGTAGATGTAAGCAAATATATAGGTCAGTATACGGACAAACTAGCGACAAATTACCATCAGATACCAAAGACTGTCGATGTAAGATGTAAGCAAATATATAGGTCACTATTCGGACAAACAAGCGACAAATTACCACCAGATACCAAAGACCGTTGATGTAAGATGAAAGCAAATATATAGGTCACTATACGGATAAACAAGCGACAAATTACCACCAGATACCAAAGAACGTTGATGTAAGCAAATATATAGGTCACTATACGGACAAACAAGCGACAAATTACCAAACAGGCGACAAATTACCACCAGATACATACCAAAGAACGTTGATGCAAGCAAATATATAGGTCACTATACGGACAAACAAGCGACAAATTACCACTAGATACCAAGGACCGTTGATGTAAGCAAATATATGGGTCGCTATACGGACAAACAAGAGAAATATTTCCACCAGATACCAAAGACCGTAGATGTAAGCAAATATATAGGTCGCTATACGGACAAACAAGCGACAAATTACCACCAGATACCAAAGACCGTAGATGTAAGCAAATATATAGGTCACTATACGGACAAACAAGCGACAAATTATCACCAGATACCAAAGACCGTAGATGTAAGCAAATAAATGGGTCGCTATACGGACAAACAAGCGACAAATTACCACCAGATACCAAAGACCGTAGATGTAAGCAAATATATAGGTCGCTATACGGACAAACAAGCGACAAATTACCACCAGATACCAAAGACCGTAGATGTAAGCAAATATATGGGTCACTATACGGACAAACAAGCGACAAATTACCACCAGATACCAAAGACCGTAGATGTAAGCAAATATATGGGTCACTATACGGACAAACAAGCGACAAATTTCCACCAGAAACCAAAGACCGTAGATGTAAGCAAATATATGGGTCACTATACGGACAAACAAGCGACAAATTACCACCAGATACCAAAGAACGTTGATGTAAGCAAATATATAGGTCACTATACGGACAAACAAGCGACAAATTACCACCAGATACCAAAGAACGTTGATGTAAGCAAATATATAGGTCACTATACGGACACACAAGCGACAAATTACCACCAGATACCAAAGAACGTTGATGTAAGCAAATATATAGGTCACTATACGGACAAACAAGCGACAAATTACCACCAGATACCAAAGAACGTTGATGTAAGCAAATATATAGGTCGCTATACGGACAAACAACTATCAACAACTTTTAACAAATATGAGCAAATTCCCTATTGAATATCAAGTTAGGGAGCTACCATTTGATTTTTATGGGGGGTTAGGATGAAATTTGAAAAAAAGGCAGGACAGGAGTTTTGAGTAAAAAAAAGGCAGGATGAGCAACCTAGCCAAAAAAAAAAAAGGCAGGATGACAATTTATGTAAAAAAAAGTCAGGATAAACTAATAAAAAAAGGTAGGACCTAATAGAGTGAAAAAATAAAAAGGCATGACAGATATTACAACTAAAAAAAAATGCAGGACAAAATTTTTCATCCTAGTCCCCCCCCCCCCCCCCCCCCCCCCCCCCCATTAAAATCAAATTGTAGCTCCCTTTTGACAAGATGTCAAACATTTCAAACTAATTTTCTATTTTGTGCATCAACAAAGCTGGGATAATACACGTTATATGAACTTATATCGGATCAGCAAATATAGGCAAACACAGGATAAATGTAAAATGACACTATACTACAGAAGTCTTTTAATCAAAGTGAATGATAAAGTAAAATATTATAATGAACAGTAAATACGAACTAAAATTAAATTTGAAAACTTTAAAAAACACATTGAAATGCGTATCAATTTACCCCAGTAATCTGAAAAAAAACATTTATGTTCTCGTATTTAATGTTATCAAGAGCTCATTCTGTTTGATCTACAAATATTGCATTACGTGACATTCGGGTCTTTTCCCGCTTCAAACATAACGGAAAAGTGTAAAATAACGCTAGCAAAAATTTAAAGTTGTAAAGGAGACAAACAAATATGAAAA